TTGTATCTTCGAGAACAAAGACTTTGAAAAAAAGGGAGGAATGTATTGGAACTGGACTGGATTGATTGTACTTGATCAGGTAGTTCTATTCACACCTGTCTAGAGCTCAGAGGGTTCCAGGTTCAAACTCCCATCTGGCTGGGTATTCCACTCCTGTTACATATGTAATAGTCTTTGATAAAGCTTAAAGGTCAGTATTTCAGCCTGTTATTTCAGCTGAGGATCTGCTAACTTAACAAATGGTAGCATTTCTTTCCAATGTAAAAGAATATACCCAAAACCCTTGCAGCGCTCAGAATTTCCCTTTAGTCAAGCCCTAGGGTGTTTGACCTAGGAGCAACAGGTTGCTAGTTTGAACCTGAGCTAGTGCAGAACTACTTTCCTTACTCCCTCCTATGATTCAATTAATGACAGATCAAGAAATATATTGTTGTTTTCACAAGTAATGATTATTGTCAAGATTTGTAAACCAAACTTTGCAATGCAACTGGTTCTAAAAAATATCTATCACAGAAAAGCTAGGACACCAGATATTCCTTAGTAAACAGAGTTCATCTGAAAATCTAACACAAATTTATTGAAAGCAGAACCTTCTTCCGTTAAAAAAAACCAGATTTTTAGTGACATTAAACGACTTCAAAAAGAAATTGAATATCTGTTTATTATATTTAACATGTGATGTGAAGGAATGAAATGTTAATGTATGTTGACAGTGATTAAAATTTCTGTCATAGCTTTGGTTTTAACCCATCAGTCAACAATGCATCAATACGTTATGAATCTCAGCTAAAGAAAACAAGAAATGAAATATCAAAAAAAAAAAAATCACACACACATTTTATGCAAAGAAATAAATGATAAAGAAAGATGTTTTAAGTTAAATGGTTTATTCCCATGTAAGTTGACCCAACAAAGCTTTTAATGGTTTTGATTATGTATCTATCTAAAGAGTTAAGCCATTCAGACTGAGAAATGAACATGTTACATGACACACTCTAATTTCTTACATGATGTAGGTGTAGATTACAACATATGATAAAATTTAGAATGACAGCATACATTTTTATTTATAGAAAACAAACTATGAAATGAAACATACTATACCAAGATAATTATCTCCTAGCTTACAACATTTACTGCGTGCTCAATTCATGAATGCTCAATTAAACAAGTTTTGTGGACTGTGTCACCAAGCTATAGAATGTTTGATACAGTCCAATCAGTGCAGGGCCATTGTGTAGGAAACAGTGTGGAAAGGCTCACAAGGGGAGACAACTATGGCTCCTGGTATTGTGCCATATTTGGTTCAAGTATCTCAGTATTACAGTATCATAAGAGAGGAATAGATTACGTGACCTGGTATATACACTATTGTTTACATATGGTACAGGCCAGCATGGAGTTGTTTATTCTTACATAAATCGTTCCACAAGCTACATGCCACACAATCAAGACCAAGTAACTTCTATGATATATATGAAGTGATCCTGTATATTTTGATAACTTTATAAAACCAACATCATTTACTTTGAACTGCAGCATAAAGCTTTCAAATCTGATTGGAAGTAAAGGTTTAGTCTGGTTTTCACTGAATACTATATTTGACCTAAGGTAAAATCATAGCGCTAACACAGAAATTCTAAAATTTGCTATCCAAACAGATAACCTCACAGTAGATCTATCATGTAGTCAAACTGGTTTTACTATGTACTATAAAACACTGTTCTAGGAATACATGCACTTCATTTTTTTCAGATTTTTTCCCCCCACAGAATTAACAAATACCAAACTATTCCTCAGAAACAGACTGATGAGCAAAGCTCTTGTCATTATGGAGAAATCTGGCATTCTTTGGAAACTCTCCCAATCATAGTTCACACTTATAATTTTAGAAATGTTTTTTCCTTCCAATGGGATACCAGAAAAAATGGAAACTATTTGGTCCTTTTCTCAAAACAATGATGGAAGAAGTGTGCAGATTTGTAGGAGTGAAATAATCTCACATACCTGTGATTTCTGATTATCAGGAATCTTCTGAACGTGGCAGCGTTACCTATCCTGTACACTTATCACAATGGCTAGGTAGAGGTGAAAATGTGAAGCCCCACAACATACTGATTGATTCTTTTCATAAAATATTCTGGCTTAACCAACACAATACAAGTCGCTATTTAGCGTTAAAATCCCTGTAATTCCATTCTTTAAACCCTTTCTTATTTGTAATGTGACGACGGCACAAAAGGTATTGTTTCCTAATCTCAAACTACGTATCCGCCAACATTTGGAATGGAATTTTTATTGAAGCATGCTGGAAGCATATATGTTACCCCGTTCAAATATTGGATAGAAAAAATGTTGTCTGTACAATCTTCCAAGTTCATGTACAAACATTTTCTTAGCTTAACATATCTGGCATGATAATGGGGCTCTCAATTATTTACACCTATTTCTGGACAATTTTTCATCCTTTTAACAAAAACTGATGATATAATTTCTATTGAATACATCTTAACTATCATTTATCAAATGATTGCTGAAAACAACTATGATGATTTTTCAAAAACTAAATAAAGTTGACAAAGCATTGAATTTGCTGGATTCCTGCCAGCAAGCACTTACATATCATTATTATGTTAAATCTGGTCTGCAAGTTCCTTGTACAACTTTTGTCCTAAGATTTAACAGCAGTCGAAATAAAGGGTCATTAGGTTACTGGCACGAGACAGGAACAAAACACTAGAGACATCTATAATATCTCAAGTACAAACCAATACAAAGGGTGAGACACAATTAAGGAAAAATTAAATAGTTGTGATACACAGCAGAGCTGGCTTTAGCAGAAGTAATGAAGTAAGCTGTTATAAATAGTATTTTAAGTCTGTGAGTCACAAATGTATTCAGTATGACTTACACCTAAATTCCATCAAGCATCATGTAGAATAGAGTTAGAAGTAAGTCAGGACTGAACTAGTCACTGGAAAACATCGACGTAGGAGAAAAATTACTCTAGATTTGTAGCTTTGCAATTGAAATTTCGATTTAGATACAAAATATTAAAAAGTAATATAGCTAGAAAAGTTTTTTTTATCTAAACAGCAATGTCACTGTATCAGTAGGACCCAATTAAACAAACATGACTAAGAGACATTAAAAAAAATGCAACTCAATCAAACTGATGTTTACATCTTCACTGAAACAACACATTCCATTAACAGGAATGATAAAAGTGAAACAAGTCAGCAACATCTCAATCAAATCAAATCAACAATGAGTAGCTCTCTAATGTTTATACTATGGCAATGTAAATTTGGTTTTGTAAGGGAGCTAACTCTAACACAGATCACAGGTATACCTGGCAGCTAGTATAAACCCTTAATTAAACAACTTATTGCCAACTCAGCAGATTTTCCCAGGTCTACTGTGATTGGCTCACCCAGTAATCATAAATAAAATATTATGGAAATCAAAATTTATCTCGTTAATGTCTTTATTATACTAGGGGAATATATATCAAACTGTGGGTCAACATCTAGCATATAAAATGGTTGCTACACATGTTTTTGTGAGAAAAACAGCAGCCTATGTAAAGTTAGCAGGTAATCGACATATCAAGACAAGAAGTACCCATAATTATTTGTCATAAGTTTCAGAGCTTTTTGACAAGATAGTTAATGATTATTTTTAAATTTGATTAGAACCAGGTAAAGCAGATTAAGGCAAAGTGTTTTTTTATCGTTTCTTTATATGCTAAACAGTCGCAGGTTGCTTTTTCTTCTAGCTTGTCATGACCAGATATTTCACTCTGAGAGGTTGGCAATACTGTTTGAAGTCAAATTTTCTGAGTAAAATCAACAAAACATAAGATTCTTCTTGTCAGATAGGTGTGAAGAAGTGTTTTCTTTGGGGAGATAAGTTGGAAACAAATATTAGCAATTGTAAAACACAAACTTCAGGCTTGAAAAATTCAACAGGTTCTTTGTTTACTTAACATTAACAAGCATTACTTATGTCACATACTGGTAATGGTATTTATCAGATATCTTTAACACTGTTGTACATACACACCAGAACAACTTACAAAGACCTTATTGTAAGTTGAACAAATCACTCCAAGCGTAATGTGACAAATAGACAATATTCTGCTCCTTTATGACGGTGATACTTTATTGAGCGTGACAAAATTTGTGTTACAATAGGACCATAACGTATCTGTTGGTTAATAAACTTTATTTATTTTACAACAATTGCGAAGCAAGTTTTTCCAACATATATTAAACACTCTGGTTGGTTTTAGACAAATATGACAAATTATGTACATAGATATACTGATGTGATTCAGTGTTGAATAGCAAACAGCACATGAATCAGTGCATAGTGTTAGTGCTTTCATTTCCAGCCTAAACAAACAAAAACACTATGGGATCAAAATATGACTTATTAGTCGCACTCTCACTTGAACAAACACTTCTACTGAAAAAGAATTAAGACTTATATGATGTGAAAAAACAATTTTCTATTTATAACAACAGTGACCTATATACCTTAGACCTTCAACCTGAAGAGCAATCCTAGTAAGAACAATTAGTGAAAAAGCATGAAGTTTGAGTGGAACTGGCCAACAGAGCTGGAGATGTTGAGGTAGGACAGATAGAAAAAGAGGTGTTTTCAATATTTAGCTAAATCTGAGTAAATAGTTTGATTTGCAACTATAATGTGAGAATTGGAAAAACACCTAACCATTACTGTATACCTGGAAACTATCGCCATCTGGTGGAAAAAAATTCTTTGCATTATGTAAAATTAGCCCTATAAAACAGAATTCTATATTTCGTGTTTTACAGTGAAACTTACACTTATTGTTAAATTCTTCCTCTTCTTTTAGGACAAAGATAGCGAAAGTTAAAAGAAAGCAAAACTTTCCTAGTATACAGTAGCTGTCAGATATTCATATGGTTCCTCAGTCATGCACCTGCTTATTTAAAGACAACAATATTACTTACAAATACAAGCTTGCCACCAGTTTCCTTATTGAGTTTCTTCATCTCTTCCTTCAGATCAACCAGTTTCTTGTGAAGGTCAACAAGTTCACTGTCTTCTGGCCTAACCTCTTGTTCATTAACCCAGCCCACACTTGACCACACCCGGTCATCATCATCATCACCTAGTAATAAAAAACAAGGACGGTCAGAGATGGGTTATGCTCCCTGATTGGGACAAAATTCAAGTATGAAAAATAACAAAAGGCAATAACTCCTAAATTATGCAAAAGAGAGTGATTTTTCTTGTGCACTGCACTTCTCCTTGCTATGATCTACCTATGATGTTTTATGTTGATAATGGTGTTTATCTCTTGATGCCTATAACTTCTATATATACATGGTTATGGGGTGGGGATTTCAACTATTTCAAAGATCTCACCCAGAGGGATGGGGCAACACCCCAGGGCCAATTCTTACATCATGATTGTTTCTATCTCTTGAAGCTCAGTAATACTATACATGGGATGGGGAAATAAATTGTTTTCAAACATGTTTCCCCTATTGAGCACCTCCCCTCCTGCCCTAGGGGATCCAGATCCACCATTTATACAACACTGATTCCCCTTCACCAAAACATGATTCACACCAAATTTGGGGAAAATCCAATCATTCCTACAGAAGGAGTAGGATGTTAGAGAATTTGCTCTATTTACCCTATAGGGCCCCATCCCTCCATCCCTAGTAGGCTGAGATCCACCATATATATAAATTGATTTCCCCTCACCCAAAGATGCTTTAGACCAAAGTTGGGCAAAATTCAATCATTCCTACAGGAGGAGAAGGCAACAGACGAAGGAAGTCACAGTATCCCTATAGCTTGTTTGGCCCTTCTGGCCAGGTAAGCTAAAAACTTATGCATAATTCAAAGATTACTTCATTTCTAAAAAATATAGTATGTGGATTGAAAGATCATATTGGAAAGACATATTAATTGTTAACACTGACATTTAAAAATAACAATAATGACAGGTGGACAAAACAATACAGGTTACAATAGGATGTAACCTCACAGATATAAACTGACTATCGAGTAACTATACAGAAATAAAGAACCATACCATATCACTACAGTTCTGGACCAGTGAGTTTTTGATATAATGCAACAGCCATGGTTATAATAGTGATAGCACTACTTGAGTTATGCCCCTTGTACTATGCACATTTTCATCACATGAATTTTTCTTACATGATATAGACATATAATGTTGTTCATTTTGTGATTACAGTTTTGGATCAGAAAACTTCTCTCTTTCACAAAACCAGTTAAGGGCTCCTAAAATGCAAGGAAGAAAGGATTTCATGATAATAAGAAATAAATTTTTCAACAGAGCTGAACTAAAGGCGACAAGAAGATAAGATAGAGGAGAAGAATAAGCACCTTTGATTGTCATGAACACAGTATCATCATCCTCTTCCATCACGGAACAGCTTCCCCGTCGATCCAAAGATACCCCAGACTGACCACTACTCCACATTTCCATGAACTTTTCTCCAAAACTGTGTAGGCTTGTGAGGATTTCCTCGTTTTCTTTTGAATATTTTTTATTGTTATTGTCTGTGGCGTGAGAATTTAAAAACAAACTTGCACCCGTTACTGGAATTCTATCTATGGCGTCCTTGTCAAATGGACTTGTTTTAAATGGATAGTGTACTTCTGGCTCTTCACCCTCTGATAAATTACTTTTCTTTCTCTCCTCTGAAGAATAGAAACAATACTTCATTGAATTTTTGAGGTTTTAAACACAAAAGTTGACCATTTGCCATGATTATCTTTCAATTCTAATTGATTCATTGAGAATTGTGACAAGTATATAATAAGCTTTTGCTCAAGCTTAATACAACTGTTATAAAATATCAGTATTTCTACATAAATTTTTTTTTATACTATTAATTTACATTGATCTGTAATCATAGTGGTTGAGAAAGTATGCCTAGGTCTTTGATGCCAAACTTCTATCTCACCATTAGACATCTCACCATTAGACAAAGAATACTGAATTTTATCTTAATTTCAATGTGAAAAACAAATACATCTCCATCAATGTTAATCATGCAATATTTTTCATGACATGATGATTTGCTTTCCACTACATTTCTTTCTTTTTTTCCAAACAATTTGAATTTGACTGTATGGAATCAAATGGAGACATCTCTTCAAATCATTGGATATCAGCTTGAGCATGACCTAAAAACTATCATTAGCAAACATTATCTTATTTAATCACAAATATATTTGTTCTTTGCTTTGCTCTTCAAACATACAAATATTAAGACTTTGGAAAATTGTATCAACTGTTACTGATACACAAGAAATATTCACTCTGATTTTTGGATCTGGCAATTTGTGATAGGCATTCCTTATACATTATGCATAATACACATTACATACTGTCTAGCTGTATGGTACCAAACTGTAATGAACACAGATATATGAAACTACACAAATAGTGCATCAAGTCTAAAATGAAAGGAGTGACAAATGACAGCTGTAGTAGAAAGACAAAGAATTAAGAACAACACTTACCTCTTCTTTGTTCGTAAAGTTGGTGGAAAGGGTCGGGATCTTTAGTAGCTTTACTGTGTAGAGATGATAATCGCTAAAAATAATAACAAAAAAATTGTAACCATGGTTATCTTATCAATGTTCTACTAAATACGACACAAGTATATATACCTTGTTGTAGAAATCAGATAATTTCTCATTACATGTTACCATGGAAACTAGCATTGGTGATTTTTCTGTGCATTATTTATAACAGAAAAATTTTCATTTTCATTTTTATCATAATAAACCAAAGTCCGGTGCATCTCCTGTTTGACTATTATTTACATACATTTTGTGATATTTTACACACAATTTTTGCAGGAAAGTTGACATCGACATTAACAAGATTACCACACATCTTGTACAAACAACTTTGTTTCAAAGGGGTCAATTTTAAGAATACCTAAGGGGCAGGAACAATGTAAGTTCACACATGTATGATCCCTGTCTGAAATCTTTATAACTAAACACAAAACAAATGAAACATACAATCATTACTTCAAAGCAAATGAAAATTAATACTGAAAAAAAAGAAATGAAACATCCAATTATTACTTAAAACTCCAGCTGATAAAATATTTGAATTAACCATCAATATCATCATGAAAGACCTCTTGGAAGAGATGTCACTTGGGCTGGATTAGTGTTTGGTAAGGGATGGTTATAAAAGATAGGAGAAAGACGTAGAGGAGATGAACATTGAAGGTTATGAAACATGGAAGAAAATAGATACAGTAAGGACAAAGTACATGATTAGGATGGATGAGGAAAAGACTATTACACTGGTAGTTGACTAGGAACTTAAAAAAATTTCCAAAAATTTGTATGTGGAGTAAAAAACAAGAGTATATAGGAGACATGTGTTTCCCTATCTAAGATATGGTTTGTGAAGAAGTGGGTAGTGATAAAGGTCCCTTAATGCGTCATATAGTATGTATAAGGAGTATATAAAAGATGTGTTACCCTATATAAGATATGGTCTGTGGAGTATGTAGAGGACATGTTACCCTATATAAGATATAGTCTGTGGAGTATATACAGGACATGTTACCCTATATAAGATATAGTCTGTGGAGTATATACAGGACATGTTACCCTATATAAGATATGGTCTGTGGAGTATATACAGGACATGTTACCCTATATAAGATATGGTCTGTGGAGTATATACAGGACATGTATATACCCTATATAAGATATGGTCTGTGGAGTATATATGGTCTGTGGAGTATATAAAAGACATGTAAGGAGTATATACAGGACATGTTACCCTATATAAGATATGGTCTGTGGAGTATATATAGGACATGTTACCCTATATAAGATATGGTCTGTGGAGTATATACAGGACATGTTACCCTATATAAGATATGGTCTGTGGAGTATATACAGGACATGTTACCCTATATAAGATATGGTCTGTGGAGTATATACAGGACATATTACCCTATATAAGATATAGTCTGTGGAGTATATACAGGACATGTTACCCTTTAAGATATGGTCTGTGGAGTATATACAGGACATGTTACCCTATATAAGATATGGTCTGTGGAGTATATACAGGACATGTTACCCCTGTGGAGTATATAAAGGAATGTTACCCTATATAAGACATGGTCTGTGGAGTATATACAGGACATGTTACCCTATATAAGACATGGTCTGTGGAGTATATACAGGACATGTTACCCTATATAAGATATGGTCTGTGGAGTATATAGAGGACATGTTACCCTATATAAGACATGGTCTGTGGAGTATATACAGGACATGTTACCCTATATAAGATATGGTCTGTGGAGTATATAGAGGACATGTTACCCTATATAAGACATGGTCTGTGGAGTATATACAGGACATGTTTCCCTATATAAGACATGGTCTGTGGAGTATATACAGGACATGTTACATGTATATACAGGACATGTTTCCCTAAGATATGGTTTGTGGAGTATATACAGGACATGATAAGATATGGTCTGTGGAGTATATAAAGGACATGTTTCCCTATATAAGACATGGTCTGTGGAGTATATAAAAGACGTGTTTCCCTATATAAGATATGGTCTGTGGAGTATATATAGGACATGTTACCCTATATAAGATATGGTCTGTGGAGTATATACAGGACATGTTACCCTATATAAGATATAGTCTGTGGAGTATATACAGGACATGTTACCCTATATAAGACATGGTCTGTGGAGTATATACAGGACATGTTACCCTATATAAGACATGGTCGGTGGAGTATATACAGGACATGTTACCCTATATCAGACATGGTCTGTGGAGTATATAGAGGACATGTTACCCTATATAAGATATGGTCTGTGGAGTATATATAGGACATGTTACCCTATATAAGACATGGTCTGTGGAGTATATACAGGACATGTTACCCTATATAAGATATGGTTTGTGGAGTATATACAGGACATGTTTCCCTATCTAAGATATGGTCTGTGGAGTATATACAGGACATGTTACCCTATATCAGATATAGTCTGTGGAGTATATACAGGACATGTTTCCCTATATAAGATATGGTCTGTGGAGTATATAGAGGACATGTTACCCTATATAAGATATGGTTTGTGGAGTATATACAGGACATGTTACCCTATATAAGATATGGTCTGTGGAGTATATAAAGGACATGTTTCCCTATATAAGACATGGTCTGTATATACAGGACATGGAGTATATATACATGTTACCCTATATAAGACATGTATAGTACCCTATATAAGACATAGTCTGTGGGTGGAGTATATACAGGACATGTTACCCTATATAAGATATGGTCTGTGGAGTATATAGAGGACATGTTACCCTATATAAGACATGGTCTGTGGAGTATATATAGGACATGTTACCCTATATATGGTCTGTGGAGTATATACAGGACATGTTACCCTATATAAGATATAGTCTGTGGAGTATACAGAGGACATGTTACCCTATATAAGATATGGTTTGTGGAGTATATACAGGACATGTTACCCTATATAAGATATGGTTTGTGGAGTATATACAGGACATGTTACCCTATATAAGACATGGTCTGTGGAGTATATACAGGACATGTTTTCCCTATATAAGACATGGTCTGTGGAGTATATACAGGACATGTTTCCCTATATAAGACATGGTCTGTGGAGTATATACAGGACATGTTACCCTATATAAGATATGGTTTGTGGAGTATATACAGGACATGTTTCCCTATCTAAGATATGGTTTGTGGAGTATATACAGGACATGTTACCCTATATAAGATATGGTCTGTGGAGTATATAGAGGACATGTTACCCTATATAAGACATGGTCTGTGGAGTATATACAGGACATGTTTCCCTATATACCTATATACAGGACAGTTACCCTATATAAGACAGTCTGTGGAGTATATACAGGACATGTTACCCTATATAAGATATGGTCTGTGGAGTATATACAGGACATGTTACCCTATATAAGATATGGTCTGTGGAGTATATACAGGACATGTTACCCTATATCAGATATGGTCTGTGGAGTATATACAGGACATGTTACCCTATATCAGATATGGTCTGTGGAGTATATACAGGACATGTTACCCTATATAAGACATGGTCTGTGGAGTATATACAGGACATGTTACCCTATATAAGACATGGTCTGTGGAGTATATACATGACATGTTACCCTATATAAGATATGGTCTGTGGAGAAGTAGAAAGTCCTTACTTTATTGAGTTCACTGGTCTCTTCCTTTATGATAGTATTCTCTCCCTGCAGCTTTTGCTCTCCTAAAATCACCTTCACAGTGTCTTGTCGAATCTTTTCGTGCTCCTTCTTCAGTCTGAAATGAAAATAGTCACAATGTAATATTAAAACAAACACAATGTACAAGTAAGGTTATAACGATCACTGTCTACAACAAGAGATCCCACAGGGATCTTGGCACCCACCTTAGTGTAGTACTACAGTCATTTATTATTCTAATCAGTCCCATAATACACAATGCACAAGTAGGGACTAGGGGGAACCTACCTATGAAATTTCAGAAAATTCAATCCAAAACTTCTAAAGAAATAGTGACAACAAAATTTGTCTGTCCAATACAAGATGGCTACCTGTCAGCCATATTATTAATTTAATCAGTCCCAGGATGAACAATGCACAGATAACAATCTAAAACAAAACCAGTTGAAGGTCAAATCTGTTCAATGCTGACTGAAAAGGACTTTAAACTTCTTTGTAAAAATATAAATCTAAGTCTTTGTGTGATTTTTTATTCAAACAAGTTTCACATTATTAAAGATATTACTCCATATTCTTAAGATCTTTTCCTCAATTCTCCCTTTCAACATATTTCAAATGAAATGAAGATAAAATTTAAATTTTGGACAAAGATGAAGATAAATCACACATCTTTTTTTTCCATTACACTTATCACTTACCTGACTATAATCTCCTCTAGTTTTTCTATTTCCTGGGTATCAGTTTCAGTCAGTCGACTGTGTCTGTCTTCACTAACTGGGCTCCTTCCAAGTCTGGTCAAGGCAGCATACTAGGCAAAGAATGGCCAAGAAATTGTGAATCTGATGTATCAATCATATCAAAAACATACTGTAGGAAGTAGGGGTATTACAACAAGAAATCAGAAATTCATCTGCAACAGCAACAGGTGGCACTTCACTAGTAAAAGCTCATTTCAAATCTGAAACTTTGTTCTAAAAATACATCAGGTAGAAACTGAATGTCCAGGTATGTATAATACTTAGTAACTACTTATATAACATTCAATCTATATTAAGATCTCCTTACTTGGGTTTTCAGTAACTAATACCAACAAACAAGTATCTCACAACATTTCACTATTTCCTTATAACTCATGAAAAAATACTTTAATGCATTAAAAATAATCTTTACGACATGTACAAAATTATTTGTTTCAATCACTTAACGATATAACTGTATTTGAATACGCCCCTTTTCATGTGTACTTTTTGATCTTGTACAAACTTACCAAATCCTTTTCAAGGGAAATTTTATCTTTCAACAAGGTGAGTCGTCTGCTTTCTTGAACTGCTTGTGCCTTTCGCTTTTCCTATTAAATAGAAATAATTGATTATTCCAAAAATCAAACAGATGAACTAATTTCAAAATAAGTTCCATTTATATAAACTTGTGAAAATAATGTTAAAAACTACAGTTTTTTCCTTTGAAAATTGAAAAAGTAAACTGAAAATTGAAATCTATGAACTTTTCTCAGATTTCATTAAACTTTTAACAGAATTGGACCTTTTCCCCTGAAAACCAATATTATAGATCATAGAATTGAAAATTCCATATTTTCTCTTTTGTAATTGTTTTTTGTGGAATAATAGTTTTACAAGTATGTGTCCTTGGTTGATGTAATCGAAAGGACCAAACTTAAGAGGCAATAGAACACTACTTCGACAAAGTAGATCATAAAATATCACACTCAGTAGGCAATTAAGTGAACCAAATTCCTGATGGTCAGCAAACACGTTGTTGACTTTCAGAATTCACCAGATAAATACTGAAATAGACACACAGGTGTATACACTGTGTAGACATAAGTATATAAATCAGGATTGATGCAGGAGGTATGTTGGACCTCGCTGACAACAATCAAGTATCCATTTGGGTTCAGTTCCGTACAGGAGATCAAATACAATGGTTTTGTATTTGTGTGATAAAATGTATGTACAAGTTTACTCAGACCAGCTAGCAAAGGTTTAAACAACATTGTACCAACATATTGACAGATGGTCTATGAATGTATACAACAGTGAACCAATGAATTTCTTAAATATCATAACAATGACTTAAGGCTGTATGCTACCTTAGTGAGACATTCATTTGCTTTCCAAGAGAATTCTATAATAATAGTTAATGATAATTTAGACCTAGAAATTAACTGCCACATACTGTACAACAAATTGTCAGATATTACTGACTGATAGGGTCAAGGGAGAAAATGATTACAAATCACCTTAAAATGCATACAGGGACTTATTATAAATGAACAGAGAGCAATATTAACAAGGACAATTGTTCAATCCTGTCAATTTATAGAAAAAAATATCACATGAAAGTCAGTAAATATTGGCATGAAGTGTCCATACTTTATCTGCTACAATCCCACTAGTATTAACTATAACTTATTCATGTAGAAAGTTGATTATTCAATTTACAATACTTCCTTTCAATAACATATTGACCAATATTTTGACACAGGATAATGATTTTCATTCCAGATATTGTCACATGGTCACTCTAAAGAAAAAATGGTCCTGACGAAAAGGATCTTGATACATGGAATGAAATTGAACAAAAATCTGTAAATAAACATGTTTAACCATATATTTAACCAACACTTACAATTAATTATGAACCATCCCAATTAATTTCAAAAACTTCCTTCAAATATGAACATGGTTCCTAAAATCTTAATATCCCCTCCTGAAACAGGTGCTGTGAAAATTGTACTACACACAATATTGAGAGAGAACAATCTGTAGACGTCTGAGTATGGCTCTCTGATCTAGGAACCATTAATCCTGTTTTTGTGGTCATTTTACGGCTTTATATGTAAAGTCAATTGTGCCATTAAATAGTTATTTGGTTTATTAGCATATTCATAATGCTTCTTAATCTTCTTTATTCTGAAGCAAACTTGTCTGACCTATTGCCTATAATGAAATGATCCATATGAAATGAATGAAGAGTCCATAAAAGGATTAGAGGGTAAAAGATGAAAAAATATGGGTGGAAGACCACAGGCCTTAAACAATTAATCTCTGTCCACTTGCTAGTTAATCTAAGTCAAGCTTATCCTAAATCACTGGATTAGTTACAGGTGTTTGGATAACATTATAAAATATGCAATATACATAGGAAACATACTATTATTAGATAAGAAAAGGTTAAAGTAACAAATAAGTGAAGGTAGCAGTAGTAAAATCACCTAAGTTGGTTTCTAGAGACATCTGAGTTTCTTTTTATTAACCTATTAGATATAATCTTACACATGTATTAAGACAAGAGTCTGTCTCTGGTGACAATTTCAAAGTGAGCATGTTGTGAGTTTGTGGGTGGTGACAAATATGAATTTGTGTGCATTGGCATACAAGAGCTTAATTCTTTTGGCATACAAGTTGGTTTTACTGGAAAATGAGCTGATTTCAAGTGTCATACTAGCTTGTCAGAAACAACTGAATTTGCTTCCACTGACATACATGAGCTTGTTCCATGTGACATAGAAGTTTGTTTCTGTTCACTACAGTGAGCATGTTTCTTGTGATTTATGACCTCATACAAAGTTCCATGAGCTTGTTTCCAGTTAGATGTGAGTTGTTCCATATGACATATAAAACTGTTTCCGGTGACAAATGAGTTTGTTCCTAATGACAACTGACTTTATTTCCAATGACACTAAAATTGGCTTGAAACTGAAACTCTTTACTAACACATATCAATTTGTTTCTCGCATCAGTTACATTTTGGACGAGTGACAATTCAATTTATTTCCAGTGGCATATAGAATTGCATTTCAGTCATGATGCAACCTTTTTATTCCTTTCTAATTGACATTTGAAGAATTCCAACATATTTGCACCTCCACAACTAGAAAGTTTACATAAACTTCACAAGTGTTGAAAGTCTGATGAATATTCATGAATGTTACAATACCAACATTGAACTGTGAGTAGGGCAGTAACATAAGTACAAAAATCTAACTGACACTTTTTTCTTGTATTCTTAGTCAATGACTGACACAATGCATATATATCTACCTATTAATATATACTTATTGTTCAAATAGTATACTATTAATCAAAACATTAAAGACAGCTTCCTGTCATTAGGATCCGGAGACAAAAGAAAAGATTGCTCTGAATGATCAGCTACAAGTTTATCCAATATCTAAACAACATTTTTAGTAATTTTCTAATAAGCTCTCAGTGCTTGTTTAATGCCATTAGCAATTTTGATGAATAACTATGAGATCACAATATATGAGCTGTTACTCCCTGTCCCCTTATAATGTAATAATAACAAATATACAAGGGGAGTAACTCATATACAATCTCCTAATGACATATATACAAGGGGAGTAATTCATATACAAACTCCTAATGACATATATACAGGGGGAGTAACTCATATACAAACTCCAAGACAATTACATATCATTCTACCAGAAATCAAAATTATACAGAAACATATGAAGTATAACATTCAATAAGAGCATGGTAAAGTGGATTTATCTATAAACAGAAAGTACGGAACTTCTAAACAGGAACATTCATTTCTAGTTATTTACTTATCTAGTGTAATAAATGCATTGTAACAATTAATGGCTGATCAGAGATTGATCATTTATAGTAGATACAGTAGCCTTTTGACTCAGTTCATAAAATTCTTACTAATCAACCATAATCTTATCATTAAAGACATTTAAATTTTGATTTATTGGAGTTATGTCCCTTTGCGTATGAAGAGATGATCAAAGAGTTCAGTTATAGCTTTTTTTAGTCTTACTTGAAGGATATAAGCGATTAATTGATGACAACATTTCTTAATGATACGAAATATCAATTAAGCATGTTGAGAAAAATATTATCTGGAAAATTGCATGACTTACCTTAATAGACATAAGTCTCTGCTTGTAGCTATCATATTCATTCACTCTGAAACAGAAAAGAGAGATTTAATCTGAAGATGTCTGCTGAGTGGAGCCAAAAAAGAGTGAGGAGACCAAACTTATCAGTAACAGTGGCACAACAACACCACATTATACAAATCTTGGACCAACACATTGTCTCTCCAAGTACCCATATTACAACACAAGGGCACTTGTTATTACAGAAGTATACCCTTACCATTATCAGGAATATCCTGATCTGCTTCACTCTTGATAAACTTGTGTTATTCTCCTCACATTCCATACCCAAAATTTTTCGCTCAGTCATGGACAATATTGTCATTGATCCTGTATAAGTTCTGATACCAAACTTGTTTGAATACTGATAATGAATCTACCTCTCAGTCATGAGGCTGTGTTGACATGAACTACCCTTTTCTGGGTATGCTATGTGTTTGAAGTTATTGAATTCATTTCTGCAAAATCATTCTAGTTGCAACCACAGAAATTAACAGAACATTCGATTCACCAATTTAATTTGAACTTTAAAATCTAAAATTTTAACAGATTTTTTTTATTAATAATTTACAAAATTTCAAATATAAAAGATTTGACATGAAATAGAATTGTTTTGATGATCTATATATACTACATATGGATTAAATGGAACACATCTTAACAGATACAGGACAATATTACCATCCCTGAAAGCTAAAATCCAATTCAAATTACAGTTCAAAATCTGACCTGGCAGTCAATAAACAATATCACTCAGTGAAGGACACTTAGATCAACAGACATTATCTCTAAGTATTGGTCCTGTGTTAAGTGGTTTTCTTGTCTACTCTACGGTAAGTAACTGACCTGCTGAGAAATATAAGTTATACACTCGGATACTTACCACTGATAGGGCATACATCGCAATAACAATGACCTGCAACAGCAGCTACAGCAAAGGTACTCCACACTATGGTGTCAATGACAGTGCCAATTTCAACAAGAACTTTATATTTTGTCTGAACTTTAAACATCAAATCTTTGAGTGTCGAACTACTACTTCAGCCCTGATTGTGACCATTCAAAACTTTTTAGTTTTTTAACAAAAGCTGAAAACTAATCGCATTCATTGTATGAGAACTTCAAAGAAAAGTTCAGAAATATTACACCCCCTTTTAAATTTCTTTGTGTTTTAGCAAGAAAGTCCTCCAATCATTTTAAGATATACACATTCACATATAGTTTTTTCAAAATTTCTGACTCAGTTTTAAATAAAGTTTGGCCAAATGGATATCTTTGCTATATGGCATTGTTCCACCAAATAAAGTATTGAACAATCCTATGCTTTCAATCAAGAAAGAACTTTCAATCTTGAAAATCTATTAGTTCAACAACACTGATATGGTTTGTAAGGTAGCATACATCCTTAAATAGAAATAAGAATTGTCTATATAAAAAACAAATCTACACCTAAGGAATGAAACTCATAAATGAAGTGGAATTGCACTCAGAGGCTGAACACAGCAACTGAATCTAGCGATCAAACAGCAGAGGACAAAGATTTCAGTAAGTTTAAGCATAGTATCGTGAAGCATGGTGAAATGAGCTTGGGGCAAAATACCATAAGGATGAAGTGAACTGCTGTTCATTTCATCATTATTGTGAAATGGAACCCCCATGGGAAAGTTTTCAAATACTGATCAATACTCAGATACTTAAGTGTCTAGACTAAAACTTGTTTTGAAATTGAATAAACTTAAAAAAAAATTCTTGAAATCTCACCTTTGTTTTCTGGCTTGAAGGGAGTTAGGAGATATTCGGTCTGGTAAGTAGGTGAAAGCATTGATGCTACCCTCTAGTTTGTAACCTGAAACAAAAATAAAACTGCTTAAAATTGCTAACATTACCGACTTCTCTGTCATTTTTAATCCTTTTGGAATGAGCCATCAATTAATCTAGTGTGAATTATATTAATGAAAATGTCAATAAATTCATTACATATGACATATAGTAAGTAAGGCCTTTTACCTACCAACAAAAAACACTGATATTTAAAATTGATTATTTCCTTTACACAGTTTACAGGTTCATTTTTCAATTAACCTTATGTTACTACCTCAGGTAGATATGAAAACTTTCCAAACCAACGTGTCCCTCACATATATAATATTGACACCACTTCATGTAGTATATATACTACAGAATGACATGTCCCACACTGTTTAAAAGCCAGATCTCCTAGATTAGCCACTAAAACTACCAATTGACAAAATTAAGCTCTAGAGTCCACCAAAGAAAAATTTAACATCTCCTGAACTATATTTTATCTTTACACTGTCAATCGAACAGGGTTCAAAGTAGTAAAACATAGCAAGCGTTTCTACAGGAAAACAACTGGTTCGTTAGGGTGTTTGATAATTTTTTAGGCTGTTTTATCCCATAACAATATCAGGCAAACTATTGTTCATATTATTATTTATTGAAAGGATACAAAGATTGCTTAAATGATTTTAGCATAAGTAATGAAACAATAGAATATATATCATTAAATACCAGGTAACTGACCTTCTTCAGGGCACTGAATATACAAACACATTATCATAATACCAACATCATTTCTCTGTCACAATTACCAGAAAACCTAGTTTAAAAAACTGCTTAATTAATTCCATTCTTAATGACATATAGAAAAATACTCAACATAGCAACATGTAATAGATCAATATGTGGATGTTTGCAGTCTCTATCAGACTGAGTTCCGATACCACTTTATGAAGGGCTTGTTGATTATTGGTGCCGTGGTGAATCAATATGGAGGTGTATAAGTTTGTTTGTACCATCAATAACTGGTTTGGGTGATACAATCCAATACAAGTCATCAATACTAAACGTAGTACTCATCTTGTCTTAAACATTGTTCAATTAATTAACATTACACAGCAGTAAGCCCCTGACTCAATCCATGTTTACGACCATGTTTTACAAAAAATATTTCTTTTCTTTGAAGACCAATTATCAATTAATCAAATCTGTATCAAAAACATTTTAAAAAAATAACAATATGAGTTTGTGTTATAAACACATTTCTAAGAAACTAATGTATTTTTTTGTCTTTACCAGAATCTTCATCAACAAAGATAAAAAAAATAATAATCCAAATCTACAAATATGAATAAATATGAATCTATTTATGATTCTATAGTACAATGCCCTGTTATCGATAAAACAGAGTAACATACCAAACATGGAATTTACGACCTCCCGACCTGACAGTTACACACAATACCAGAGTTTTCTTACCTGATTGTCCAGTCTAGATATTAATACAATATAGTAGCACACTCCTTAAATATGGACAACCATGTTCCTTATGTGGTACGAAATCTGATATGACCTGAATATTAGATTGCAGAAACACATAAAATATCCTTGGTAAATCTGCGATCGATACAAGGTGTCGTAAAGTGACCACACTGGAACATCTTTACTTCACTCAGCTCATCAGCCTCTCATTGATGTATACGTGGTGTTTTTTTTTTTTATTTTTCTGCATTTTCACTAGATTTTCTTAATCACCACATCAGAAATATGCTTGATACAATATTATGTTGAAAGCCTATACATTAAAGGATAGAAATATACATAATTCCTGTAAATCATGATGTAATTAAAACTCAACTGTACACCAAGCTCTACTCTTTTTTCCATAGATATTCCAACAACAAACAATGCCTTAGGATGTGTAGATAAATGTTAAAAGTATTTTCTGTTAACAGAGAAAGCGTTTGGCCCTTGATGTTGCAAGTAACATTGAAGTGGCTGTTATGTCAGTGTTATTATTGACAAATATCTTATAGTCATACAAGTGTAAGTGGTATATTTAATCTGAAAAAAGTACAAAACCCAGCTTAAAACAAAAGACAGATCAACTCATGCAATAATTATTAAAATTTAACTATATGGCTATCAGCAGTATTGTGTGTTTTTCAGGAGCATTCAGCTTACTCTTGATGAAACTGATAGCTAGAAGAACTACTTAACTAAGTACGATATATTGGAAATAAAAATACTGAACTGTTTAAACTCTTTTTCAAAGGAGATTAGTTCCAAATTTAAAACAAAGTAACTTTGGAAAGGTTCACTAGAAAACAGATGGAGCTGTATAACATTAACTCTCTACTAATTCTGTAATGGACAGAAATAATAAGGGAGATAACTCTAACCAAATAAAACCATTGAGTAAATTACAGGTAATCATAATCTGAAGTTTGTTTCTGTCATAAAAAAATCAATACTTAATCACAACAAGAATCAACAATATCTCCTGTGATATGAAGGTAAAGATACAAGATGAATTGGAATGCACAGACAGAGCAGTTCCCTGATACCTTATAGTCAATACAGTATATACCCAGGAATAACCCCATGGCTGATCAAATGTTGCAGTAATGCAGGAACACAATTTTTACATCATTTACTTATTGTAAACCTGTCTCCCTACTAAGTGTGGGAGCGTAAGTATTATCCCCAGAGCTTATTGTAGGATAAACTTGGTATCAAAACATCAACTTCTTGAAGGTCCATCCACTTCCTCTCTACTCACAGTCACTAAACTCAATCACAACAAGAGAATTGGTAGAAACAATTGATGGCAGTTGCTCCCTAAATAAACAATTTAAAAAACTCCATAATGGCTACTTTTGACAAAATTTAAGTACGAGAAAGAGCAAAGGGCGATAACTCCTAAATTATGCCAAAAGAGAGTTTTGGTTTTTGTACAATAAACTTCTCCTTATCCAGATCTACCTACAAACTTTCAAGCTGATACCTCTTACAGTTTTTGTGATATGCTCTAATCAAAACTATGATGGATGGACAGACAGATAGATAAACAGACAAAAGAACAAAGCAGTATCTATATGCTCTCCCTTTTGGGAGAGCATTTAAACACTACCCAACTTCTGAAGAGTCCAACCACTTCTTCCCTTCTTACAGGAACACAACTGGATCACAAACATATTAACAAATAGGTAAAGAGTCTGTCTATTTCTACTTTATACTACAGATACATGTTAAATCCAGGTCAAAGATCAGCACAAATATTAGCAGTGCTTTAGGTAAACAAATGAGGGATTCAAAACTCTTATCTAAATGGAAAAATGACAGATAAAGTTTTAAATCAATAAATCAATAGTTCAATATCAATAGACAGTCTTGTTGGTCCATCTCCAAATTACACAGAATTCCCTATAGAGTCTATATAAACATAGTGAGATTACAAATTCTACTATTCATATACACAGTTACACTTGTACTGAAACAAACGACTCATTCACATGTTAAAATCTGCTATTCACTATTTACTTATCAAAAGCCGGATCATATAACTGAAGATTTCATTCATTACCTTTAAATGAGCTCATCAAACTTCTTCATAGCATCATTGACACACTGTCTCATCAGACAATCTATATCCTAGATTTTACAGTCACACTGTCTTATCTGACAATCTTTATCTCTGATTTTACTGACACACTGTCTCATCTGACAATCTTTATCTCTGATTTTACTGACACACTGTCTCATCTGACAATCTTTATCTCTGATTTTACTGACACACTGTCTCATCTGACAATCTTTATCCCTGATTTTACTGACACACTGTCTCATCTGACAATCTTTATCCCTGATTTTACTGACACACTGTCTCATCTGACAATCTTTATCTCTGATTTTACTGACACACTGTCTCATCTGACAATCTTTATCTCTAATTTTACTGACCATTTCTATAATTTGACAGTTGTCCTTCCATTTTCAGTTCAAGTTTTGATCTATGAAAAATAGCAGCCCAAAATGAAATACTTATTCACTTATTATCCTGCTTCTAGATAAATGAGGTTTTAGATCTTACAAGCAATATGCGAATTACGATAAGTCAAAGTTTCATCTCAAATTTTGATAGAAGTTCCTGAAATTTTATAATCACCAGAGAAGCAGTTGCAAGAAATTAATTTCAAAAGTCTTCTTCAACAAGATGCCCAGAGGTCAGTATCACTCATTCCATTTTGGAAAAGGATTCTAGATATTTGCAAGTTTTCCCCTATCCATCCCACCCATGGGGCTGAGACCCATCATTGATACAAAACTGATTTCCCGCCATCAAAAGATGCTACAGAGGAAATTGGCATTCCTACAAGAATAGATGAATTTGAAATAATTTGCACCATTTTCCTTATCGGACCCCACATCTTAAGCCTGTGTGTAATTAGACTACTGTATATGCAAAACTGATTCCCTTTCACCCAAGGATGCTTCAGACATAATTGGTAGAGAACCCTAAAATTCCTACAGAAGACAGATTTTCAAGAATTTGCTTTTGACCTGCTGAGCTAAAAAGGAATCTGTAATATAATCTTTGACAGGTATCATGTCATAAAATACAGAAATAAAAATGTCCAGATAAAACAGTTAAGACTCTAAAATGACATCATGTAAAATATACAAGTGGTTAAATACCATGTGCTACTTGACCAGATATATTATGTTCTTATAATGTCTCATACAGAACCAAGGTAGGTAGGTCAGGAGTTACTTGAAAATACAATAAAATTCTTGAGAGGTCAAAGTGCTAGGTATAGACATAACATAGTTATATAAAGTAACAATTTACAGACACTGGTGGGAGATATAGACAGGTGGTAATTGCAGACAGGGGGTAGCTATAGACAGGTGATAATAACGGACAGGTGGTAGAAAAATACAGGGGAGAGTTGTAAACAAGTTACCGTTATAGACAGGTAGTAGTTAAGAAAGGTAGTAGTTTATACTGGTGGTAGTTTAGACAGGTAAAAGTTACAGACAGGTAGTAGTTATAGACAGGTAATAGTTATAGACAGGTGGTAGTTATAGACAGGTAACAGTTATAGATGGGTGGTAGTTATAGACAGGTAATAGTTATAGACAGGTAACAGTTATAGACCGGTGGTAGTTATAGACAGGTAATAGTTATAGACAGGTAACAGTTATAGACCGGTGGTAGTTATAGACAGGTAATAGTTATAGACAGGTAACAGTTATAGACCGGTGGTAGTTATAGACAGGTAAAAGTTACAGACAGGTGGTAGTTATAGACAGGTAATAGTTATAGACAGGTAACAGTTATAGACCGGTGGTAGTTATAGACAGGTAAATGTTATAGAGAGGTAATAGTTATAGACAGGTGGTAGTTATAGACCGTTGGTAGTTATAGACAGGTAAAAGTTATAGACAGGTAATAGTTATAGACAGGTGGTAGTTATAGACAGGTAACAGTTATAGATAGGTGGTAGTTATAGACAGGTAATAGTTATAGACAGGTGGTAGTTATAGACAGGTGGTAGTTATAGACAGGTAACAGTTATAGACAGGTAATAGTTATAGACAGGTGGTAGTTATAGACAGGTAACAGTTATAGACAGGTGGTAGTTATAGACAGGTGGTAGTTATAGACAGGTAATAGTTATAGACAGGTGGTAGTTATAGACAGGTGGTAGTTATAGACAGGTAAAAGTTATAGACAGGTAACAGTTATAGGCCGGTGGTAGTTATAGACATGTAAAAAGTTATAGAGAGGTAACAGTTATAGATAGGTGGTAGTTATAGACAGGTGGTAGTTATAGACAGGTGGTAGACACAGACAGTGATATGTGACCATGATTAGGTACCAGAGACTAGTTTTATGGTTTAGATAAAGGCATCCCATTTATCTTATACTGGATGATCTTGCTTAAACCTTAAAGATTACATTTCTTATACTTTTGACTTGTCATGAATTAGTCATGTATTATAAGAATCCAATACAAACCTTGTTTGTGTAGTCGCACAAGTTGGCAAGCAACTGTCCACTCCCCCGTATCTAGGCAGCCGTCTTTATTGAGGTCGGATAGATCCCACACATCAACCAACTGTTCCGGGGATAACTCAGAAGACTGGAGAGCCTCACGTGCTTCAGTACCTGTACAGAGAACAGATTCTTGGTATTATCATTACATAAAAACAGATTTTACAAGAATGATATAACCTAGGAGAGCCCATAAATTTTTCAAATCCCGCTTATATTTTATGAAGATTTTGCACTGAGTGTTCCCATTTAGCCATATCCCTAGGCCATTTTAAGGCTCAGTCTTTTAAAAATATAGATTCTGTCTCTTCTTATTCAAAAGTCATGCCATCAAAGTTTGGTTCTAATTTAATCCTCTATCCATGCAACATTCCTTGACATTTTAGGCTGTAGACTTTAATATTTGTGTGCCCTTTTAAGTACCAATTTCAGCCTCTGTGGGATTAGCACTACTTTAAGATGTTGCAAACAATGATTGTAGAAAAAATTGTTAGCCTGCAAGGAAATAGTTCATGAAATAGACTTACAACCCCACCCTCAATTAACGCAATATTTTCAAGTCTCACTGACCTTCAAAATATCCCTTTCGACTGGTATCAAGACTCTGAAACACCTTGATATATGCCTCCTTCTCCCTGTCAGACATGTTGGGAAGTTGTACCGAGGTAGAAGACTTGGGTTTGAGGTTATGCGGAAGGACTTTTGGTATTTTCCTCCCACGTAAGATCCCATGTGTGAGGTGCATCGCCAACACAAACTCATCCACATTGAGTACATTGTCGTTTGTGACATCAGCCAAGTTCCTGAAAAGCACATAACAAAAGTCAGCATTATTATCAGTAGTCAGTAACATCTTGATGCTGTCAACTCTTTCACCACTTAAACACCTAATACTGACAGATTTCAATTCATTTTTCTTATTTTGTCACAATCTCTTTAAAATTTCTTTTTCTTAAATATCCAACATTTTATTATACAAATAGTGATCACAATATATCAAAACTTCAAAACATTAAGTTATTAAAATTGACATGTGTTTTACTTGAGGTTGCTTTACAAAGTTAAGTTTTTCAGGGTTTCCCTTTAACCACATGGAAGGTCGTTTATTCAGAGTTGTCATCATTGTGGTCCCAATATGGGCTAATGAATTTTCATCACTTCTACAAATTAAAATTGTAAGTTTGGATAAGATTATGCCTCACTGTTTACAGATTAATAAGACAAAGGTAGAAAAACACATCTGACATTTCAAAAGTATTCCATATCAATGTATCTTTTTCAGATAAAGTAAAATATGTTGGGTAAAATTTTATCTACACTGTGAGACTTTTCATTATTCATTTTTACACAACACAATATTTCTCCATAAAAAGATGTGCAAAATTAACTATTTAATAAAAAACCACACAAGAATAAACTCTAGGTAGAGAGATGCTCTGAGAACCAACAGACTGCAAAGTTCATGTGTGTTGTGGTTCATGAAATAGGTTCCAGGAGGACTCTGAATAGTATACAGAGCTCTTGTCAAAACTGTAAAGAAATAAAAATTGTAAACAAGCAAAACAGTAAAGGAACAACTCCTGTTGTCAGTTTTCCAAACAGTGTATTCTGTTTGGAAACCTGATTTTAGCAGTAGCTCTTTTCCCTTTTTATTCACTTTGTAAAAAGGTACACTTGAGATGTTTTGAATAAGGAGACATGAGTTATTTCCCTTGGTACACAAAATTTGTACCTGGTGATACCATATTGTCGACTCTATTGTGTAGACATTAATTATCAGTTGACACACCTTCCTACAAACAGGAATCTATCTAATGCTTTATTAACAGATCAAAAGATGTTAGAAATATTTATATATACACACAGGAACATGATGAACTTCAAGTGTATCAGTAATTATCCAAATCAACCTTGAAGGGAGACCAATTTCATTTTCCTTGTTTAAGAAAACAGATATCATCATGTCATTTTAACAATCTGTTTCCTGAATGAGTGAAGACCCCAAAAGTTTTCTTCCTAATATTTTATTTTATCCTATTAATTGAAATTTATTTCCAAATATTTTATCATATCAAAACCTTTTATATTCCTCTATGAAATATACTTGTATATACATCTGATTGTTAATATGATACATTTCCGAAACAGTTATGCACTTTAAGTTGGATAATTGCCTGTAAAAAAACATCAATTTGTATCCAAATAAACACTCTCTAAATACAAATGATTATTGGTCTACATTCTACCTAAATTCTCAGACATCCACTTCATCCAATACATTAAGATGGTGTGGTATTTACATATTTTAAACATCAATACATCATTCAGCAGCAACAAAACCTGTTTATTTACATCAATGGTTTTTTCGTCAGCTGACCCGTTGACATAAACCTGTTTTGCTTGGCACTTAAACCTGTTTCCTTACAACAAACCACTGGTTAGTCTGTAACATCTAGCATTTATAAACCTGTTTACAAATATCCACATGCTCAGTAAATACCTCATGGGAACCCAATTTTACAAATACCTATGATAGGTTGTCACTATGGTTACAGTTGAGGCAGACTGCAATTTAAACTAAGGATACATTAATTCATCTGCTACATAAATTAGCACTGAGTCATGTAATATTAACATGACAATCCAAAAGATATTAGTACAAAAATATCTAATAAATCCTGACATCAAAATACACTGTATATATCTAATTGAAGTTATGATATACCAGTTGCAAACATATCATTTGAAAAAAAAGGCGACATCAATATACATTTAAAATTATTCAAAAAATGTATAATATTTTAGTTTCTGGTAAGGAGTTGCTTCCCTTGGTAGGGAGTCAATTCATTTTTAAATTCAATTGGTGCTACTGGGACATTCTGTTATAACGTTCAAGATATCTAACTTCTGCATATTGTGGAATTTTCAGTGTGTTTTCTTGAGAGAAATCCATGAATGTTTAAATGTGTTTTAAATCAAATTTCACCCATGCAAAAACATAAAATATGTAATACCAATGCCTGGAAGTAATGATTTTTAACCTTTGATGTAATTTTTCTATAATAATCATAACTTGGGCCCCTTTTGCAATGATACTGCATAGAAACAGACATGAATAATACTTGGATATGTCCCACCAGTACACTTAAGTGGTAGTACAAAAAAAATGAATACCAAATACAGAAAAGTTTAAAAATATATTAAACTGAATGAACACTGAATGTCTTGGAGAGTAAGGGAATTGTACATCACAGAGCAAGGTTATCTTGGATGAATTAATTGTATGTTAAAAATAATCTCAAGTTACGTAAAGTTTTGTAGAATACATTCCACTGTAACCTGACTGAACCAACAAGACTTCATCATATATTTATATCAACATTTTTCTTTATCTCACATCAGTTTGTAAATAAAAATTTATTTTTCATTCCTATATAAACAGGTCTGAGTAATTTTGAACCTCAAAATGTAAATCTAAAAGACATGTTACAAATAAATGACAATTTCACACAGAAATGTTCCTTAAGCTAACAAACCTAGCTATCACTTCTATGCAACAGTTACATTAATGTACCATACATTACTAAGACGCAGGTGCGAGGATGGTATATCACACAGAGGCTGCATATTTCCCTTCTTTCTTGACCCATGTAATGTATCAGGTAATATTACTGCATCAGTCATGTAGAAATGGATGAAACTGAATGATTATTTAACATACCAGGTAAAAACCTTATGTTAAATCTCACTACCTTGATTTTCAAAAATATCGCTTGAGTGGATAGAAGCAAAAATGACTAAATATGAGTATCTCTTCCGGAATCTTGTACATGGTGCATTAGAAGATTTACAAAGAATTTTACCGTTAATGGTAGTCTGGTGAGTTTACCCTTGAATCCATCCAGTATTCAAAACTGACTTTTGGCTTAAATACAATAAAACACTTTCACTACACCTTCTGGGTCTCAAAGTTTATTTGACCCCTGTGAGCTTAAAAGTAAGTCAAGGTCATTGCTATGAAGAAACATTATAGCCCTCTTAATATCAGGATCTGGGTGCCAAAGTAAAAAGTTGAAACATTGATGCAGCTCACCTGTTATTTATGTCATATAAGCAAAAAATCATTTCACACGTTTTGTAGTGTGACTAAACAATACACAATGCATGTGTATATAAAATCTATGTTATATCATCTATCATTCTGTATTGAGTGTAAATATAAATCAAAGTATATCATAGGATCATTTCTAATCTGTACCTTGCAGGTCTCGAGAAATATAACAATAAAACCCTTGTCAAATCATATGAGAGAAAGTGTAGTATCGAATTTGATCATTAAATCAAATGGGTAGAAACACTACTCTGTCCCACGCCTCAACACAGCCGAAATAAAGAAATCCTGGTAGAAGAGAATATTTTCTTTACCAGAGTGCACCAGGCAAATATGATTTCTATTTTGCTACAAATCTGGCTGAAATTCTATTACCCAGCACTTAATTTTTTATGGACAAATGTCACATTTATTTTTCAATTAACCCGAACCAGTTTATGATGCGTTAAGTATTGACTTACCTGAGATGTTACACCTGACATACACCTGTATTAGGTTTACTTAGGTACATTCACATATCATCAATATCACAACACAGTAAAACATATCACTTGGAAAATCATATCTTTTATACATTAAAATTAAATCATGCAAGTTTGATAGTAATCTTAACCTAATAATTCTTTGGACTAGCTTAACTTCACATTATTCCTCTAAATAAACTTTGCCATTAAGTAAAAATTATAGTTTTGTTGCTGTTTTTAATCCGCGTTTTCATGCATTTTAATGTTAATTCAAACAAAGTGTAGGTTACTTACTGGAGCATTATATTATATTTAGATATTTGTAAGTGAATGATTATGACACCATCAACATACCAGACATGGCATTTTAATACTTCATAACCCACAGACCTAATTAAAGAGCAAATTTGTCCACAGCTGACCTAAACTATGCAAATTACCTTGCATATTTGTATATGATTACCTGTATCTACACCTAGCTAGGTTGACACAACTAAAAACATGTGATGTGCAACTTTCCCAAACCAATCACCTCTTGAAACCGAACAAAATGGCAATGTATGGAATGACGTCCTCTTTATTATAGTAAGAAAAAAGACTGATTCTTTTCCATTCCAAATACCACACTGTTTTGTATCCAACATGTTTGAATTATACTGAAAATCACATCTGAAAACCGGCATTATGTGATCAATCAAGACAGGAGTTATCAGACCAGTGCACCATGAAATCAACACCTGTGGTAACAGTTGTAAGCTTTGAGCCCTGGTGCACACAGCTGTCAGGGGTAGGCTAATATGTATACTATACCTACCCTGATCAGGAGGATTATAATAAACACAATGTATAGTTATCTTCATTGACAAATTGAAGTTGTATGAAACGAGTCCATTGTTTCATCAAAACGAGAAATGGCTACTGATTTAGTGAAAGTAAGTACTGATGCAGGATTGAAAGCCACTATTTCGCTTGTAAATTGTTAGATTTTAACACATACAGAATGGAAATATTAATTGAAAACTGTTTCAGTTTTATACTGGTCTACAAGAAAACACATTCATCAAATATATCGGTCGGTAACACTTTCAGACTCATATTGATTTCTAGATTTCTTTTAGACTAAAGCCAGAAATAGAATATAAGTATCACTGTTTTCTCACTTTACAGAGAAAGTTTTAGCTTATAAAACTTTTTATGTCCAATGCATGGTTGGTTTGGAGAAGTTCCA